GAGACAGGGTTTCTCTGTGTAGCTTTGCGCCTTTCCTGGAACTCGCTTTGGAGACCAGGCTGGCCTCGAACTCACAGAGATCCTCCTGGCTCTGCCTCCCGAGTGCTAGGGTTAAAGGTGTGCGCCACCACCGCCCGGCGGGGTTTTTTTTTTATTCATTCTTTATCATCTTATCCTCGTTATCTAGATTGTTTCTTAACTATAAGCCAAGACATTTTATAAGTAAGGATAAGCCTCCGCATGTAATATATTTGGGAGCTGGAGGGTGGGCCCCCTAAAAGTGCAAAACAACAAACAACAACATAGATCAAACACAGAAATCCATAGCAGCTTGAAAGCTAGACTCAGCAGAGACAGTGAGTGGGGTGAGATGGGATGGGGACACATCACACAAGAATCATTTCCACTCCTCGGAACACACGGCTGGGAGATGCAGGTCATCTTCCTTTGCATACAGGATCTGTCTCCTCTTTGAAATGGACTCCTAATTCCTCACGGGCATTTGTTGTTAAGCAGGTTAGGCTGCCCTGAGCAGATAGTCTTTTCTCAACTCTAACAGCTAGCTATGATCAAATGACTAAACTCAAAGTAAAAGTAGAAGAAAAGTCACAACTATTAATGCACAGTGCCCTTAAAGGAAAAAAGCATTTTTCCTTCTTCATTCTTCCTTCTCCTCAAATTGGATACAATATGGCTGTGATGGTTGGAGTTTAAATGGCCATTTTAAACCATGAGGTAGTCTTATATTGAAAATGGCCTGACCACAGATAGGAAAAAAAAAAAAACAAAGAGCCCCTCCTTATAGATGAAGAACTACCATGTAACAGAGTAAGTAAATAGACTCTTCATAGTAGGCAGAAGACTTGAGGTTGCCTATTCTTCTTCAAAATCCAATCTTTCTTTACATTGTATCTGGATTCCTCAAAAGCACTCTCCCTACGAGGGAAGGGTGCCGAATGGAGAGTTCTACTAGAGCAAACTATAGATAGTCACCTCTGTGATCTCGTCCATGTGTGTCAAGCACTCTCCCTAAGAGGGAAGGGTGCCGAATGGACAGTTCTCCTTGAGCAAACTTTAGATAGTCACCTCTGCGATCGTCACTGGGTGTCAGGTACTTACTCTGTCTTTAAAGCTATCATGCAGTTGGTCTTCAGCAAAAATATGGACCTGCAGTGGCTTGATGCTGAAAATGAGAGCGGACTTCAACATAGTCAGAGTTTCTTCCAGTCTTTCACCACAGGCAACAACAGCAAGGTGCATTTTCTCCGTGGGCTGCGTTTTCAGACTGTACCTATCAACAAAGAAGAGCACATTCCAACAGGTCAACATAGATTTACTACTGAATGATATTTCTACCATGTTTAAAAACAGAGGTTTACAACTTTTTTAAATGTAAAAGAAACATCAATAAATATTACAGTGCTGACTCCATCATCCAATCATTTATGCCTATACTCTCAAGCAGTTTTCCACAAGCAACACACCTCGTGAGGCAACCGCCCCAAGAACACATAACTAACTTCACTCATCATCATACTGGGTGTCAAGAAAGGAAGCCTAAGTAATCGGAAGGCCTTCCATTGAAATATTTTTTGAAACTTCTCCTAATGCCATTTAAAATCCCTTTACATGCTTCCTCCAATCCACAATCACTATGAAGCAAGTCAGCTACAATTTCATCCACACATATTTCAGTATTACATCCCGTCTTAAGCCAAGCTTATCACAAGACATCTGTTCGTGTAACTTTTCTCAGAGGCAAACATTCAGTTCCACTTACCAACTACTCACCAAGATGTGTAAACATTTCTGAAAGGCCCTCACACACACTGATAGGGCTTTTTGGAAGGAAAGATCTCCTGTCACTCCTAACCGAGCAGTGGTGTTCGGGCTGAGGAGCCCTTTCCTCCCTCTGGTGTGGGCATGAGCTCCCCACACTGCTCCACTGAAGGCACTGGACAGAAATGGCGCCTTCTCCCCATCCACTCCCTGAATCCCTGGCCCTCGTATCGTTAAGGCCTTCATTTCCTAACAGGGAAACTGTATGGGTACCACTCACGCCGACAAGGAAACATGAATTCAGTTTATCTCAAAACAGCAGAAGCCACAGAATACAGCGAAGGCAAGCGAGGCACACAATTCTAGAGAATGCTATCTCATCTTCCTGTTAACTGTATTCAGATCCTACTCCTCACAGTGGTTCTAAAACAGTCTCCATCAGAACATCAGCCTGGGGATGGGCAGATGGTTCCGTGGTTAAGAGCACCTATTGCTCTTGCAGAGTACCAAGCAGATGCTGGGACTGGCAATCTTCCTTCCTTAACCTCTCAAGTTCTTAGGAGTAGAAGTCTGAGTCACCAACCAAGAGAAGATTTTATCTTCACCTCAGTATTTTTAACAAGGCCATCCAGAATTTCTGGTTTCCTACATGGTCTCAACTGTCACTGTCCACAAGCTGGTTCACAACCATCTGTAACTCCAGAGCCAGGGCACCTGATACCCTGTTCTGGCTTTTGCAGGCACCAGACATGCATGTGGTACAGACATAGAAGCAGGCAAAACACTCACACACATAAAGTAAGTCTGAGAAAATTAAAACATCACAACCAGGCAAGGTGGTGTAAGCCTGTAATCTTAACACTCAGAAGGCAGAGGCAAGAGAATCCAGTTTGGCTCCATAACAAGACTATCTCTGAAAAATAATGATGATGATGATGATGATGAGACTAATAGGTTCAGGTTGCTTAACTGGTCAACAAGAAGAGTACACCCCAAAGTCAGAAGTCAAGAGCAGCTATGAACTGACCTGTAACAGTCACATGTTGCTCTGCCCAGAACTCTCTGCAGACAATGTTAACTGACCTGTAACAGTCACATGAGCTCTGCCCAGAACTCTCTGCAGACAATATTAACTGACCTGTAACAGTCACATGAGCTCTGCCCAGAACTCTCTGCCGACAATGTTAAGAAACACAATACACCTTAGGAAAAAAGAAAAATGTTCCTCAAGAAAGGAAAAAAAAAAAAATCTGTCTAAAAGCAGCCTCAAGGGCCAGTCATGACTAATACCAGGACCTGAGAAGCAGAGGCAGATGGATCAGTAGTCCAGGGTCACTCATAGCTATACTGCATGTCTGAAGCCAGCCTAGGTTCTGCAAGATCCTGTCTCAAAAGCAACAACAAAGTGAAAACAAAAACAATCTATTCAATCCCCCAAGCACGTTAGTGAGGCCAGTTTAGCTGTGGGTCTACCAGTTCCACTGTGACATCTCTCCACAGCATTCTGCAGACTCCAATACCCAAGCCGACAAGACGCAACACGCACTGAAGATGTCTCCACCCACCAATGACCCCTCCACTCCAAGGACAGAAAGTACAACTGCAGATCAGAAGAGATCTAAAGGAAGCTTCCAGACTGCAGGAACTGATGACTAATTTCCTAAGCATTCACAGGGAATCAGCCATTCCAGTCATTCTGGCCAATTGAATGTTAGGATCTTCATCGTGGGCTGTTAAAATGTGCTTTATCTTAACTAAAATCCCTGCAGAGATAAGGAATCTTACCCAAAAAGAATTCTGAAATCACACCTACTTTCCCGCACGACAAGAAGAAATCTTGAGGTAATTCAAAGAGCACCTGTGAGCTCTTCTAATTCAGTAAAGCATAACTTCCGGAGGGAAGCCCAGCAGCAGCCGCCTGTGAGTAGAGGGACACCTCACAGAACGGCCTCAGGTGGGAGCGCGGCCCAGCAGGAGCCCTCAGCCCACTCACACAGAGAGGCAGCAGCTTAGTCATCCAGAGAGGAGCCCTGGACTACAGAGGGGCTAGACTGTGGTGCAGGCTCCCTCCGGCAGGCTTCCTACCCAGCTTCATTTTTTATCAAAGATCCTTCCAATATCCCTCAAGTAATTCTAGGGGCAGCTAAAATTACTGTGTCGTAAGTAAACAGAAGAAGGTTGTCTGCGATGTAATGGTCGATTTTGATTGTCACCTTGACATGATGGACAATGAAAAGGGAAGGGAGTCTCGATGAGGAAAAACGGTCTAGGGTAGGTTGGCCTGTGGGCATGCGCTGTGAGAGTTTCTTAGCTGGGTTTACCGACCTGGGAAGACCCACCCTAACATGGGCAGCACCAATTCAGGAACTGGGTCCGACTCAGTAACAGGCAGAACAAGCCAAGCACTAACACCAACAAGCAAGTCACTGCTGTCTCTTCCTGACCGGGTGTGTGACGGGTTTCTGCCATCCTGACCTCCCACAACAGACTATAACCTGGAATGTGGAAACCAAACAAACCCTTTCTCCTTTAAATTGTTTATGTAGGGATATTTTATCACAGCGACAGGAAATGGAAGTAACTATGTGAGGAACGACCTCACTTTAGCAATTGCCATCACTGTAGAGTCCTTCCCAAACTCAGTGGCCAAGCACCTGTTAAGGGCCCGAAGCAGGGCAAACAGCCATGCCTTTCCTAACCTGAGCAGCGCCTAGGGGTCTTCCACAGATCCGCTCTCATTCCCAAAGCCCTCTAGTACCTGAGGAGCCCGAGGCTCACAAAGAAAGGGAGAGCTGGGGTGTGTACCTCAGTGCTAAGGCTCCTGCCCAACTCACTCTGAGTTCAGTCTCCAACACCACCAACAAAAAAAAACAAAGTATGACACTAATGACCAACATAATAAAATTAAAAATTGATTCCATGAGTGAACCTAAGTAAAAGGCGAAGGGGAAAAACTCTTCAAACTCTGCCAACAAACACAGAGTAAGAGAATCACCACACTCACTACTTTGCCAAAGAAGGGTATTCCCCACACATACTTCAGAGTGGATTACTCAGATTACTACTGAGCGGAAGTGGAAGGCCAGTGCCGTAACCATGTGATAAAACTTGGCCAACAATGCCCCGTTTATGGTACCAGCTGACTCCTTAGGACAGCATGAGCAAGAGCCTAAACACAGCAAGCCTTGATCCATTCACAGGGACACAGACAGATCCCAACTAAGGGTCATTCTACAAAACAGAAGTATCACGACACAAAAGATGGGCCCGGTGGACTGGCTCAGTGGATAGAAACGCTCGAAGGCAAACCTGACAAGCCGAGTTCAACCCCAAACCACAGTGGAAGGAGAGACCGTAACCTTCTCCTTGGAAGCAGACTGCAGAATCCCCAGAATGTCTCTACTGTATACACAGCCTGCTTCATAAGGTAGACCAGCACCCGAGACTACCCTCTGACCTCTATCATGGCGTGACACATGCACCTGCATGCAGAATCACAGAACATACATCATCACCCACACACAAAACTAACACAGAGCGAAATGACGCGGCATCTGCATTGTCCACTGTCTGTCTGATGTAGGGTCACTGGATGGAGGAGGATTTAGCGCTACGTAAGAAAGTGAGTTTAAGGGCTGGAGAGAGGGCTCAGCAGTTAAGAGCACTTGTTCGCTCTTCCAGGACCAAAGTTCTGTCCTCATCACCCATGTTAGATAGCTCACAACCTCCTGCAACTCCAGATCCAAGGGATCTGACACCCCTTCTGGCCTTTGTGAGCACTAGGCACACTTGTAGACATTTAAAGAGGGGGGGAGGGAGGGAGGGAGGGAGGGAGGGAGGGAGGGAGGGAGAAGAAACTGAGTTTAAGATACTTTACAGAATATTGACATACTGCAAAATGGTTTCTCTCTTTGTATTCACGTAGTATAAACAGATGACAATATTACAAACAGAAAGTATAAAAGAGGGGTATGACTTAACATCTCAAATTTAAGAGCCTGGTGTAATAATAGTACATGCCTGTAGACTCAAGCTAATTGAAAGGCCGAAACATAACAATTACTGGAGCTGATAAGCCACGTATCAGTCTGGGACCTTTTTGACAGGTGGAAATCTATCACACACAGACATACACAGAGAGAAAATCTGCTATCAACTAACCCTTTCCACTTGCTTACAGGATGCACAGTTGAGAACCTGAGACTTTACGCATACTATTACAAATATAAAAGAAGCAGCTTGTATTGCAAGCAATGAACACCTGTTGAAGGGGAAGAATTAAGTCTTCCCCAGGGACGAGCCCTCTAACTGACTCTCCAGCACCAAGTGGTCACTTCTTAAAACATGCACACAAGCTACTCAATGGACGCAACAGGGTGTGTGCGTGTGCGTGTGCGTGTGCGTGTGTGTGTGTGTGTGTGTGCGCGCGCGCACGCGCGCGCACAATAATTAAAGACAAAGAGGCCATAAATTTGAGGTAGAGCAGGGAGGGATAGGAGGGGAGTTACAGAGGGGAGGAAATTATGTAATTATATTTTACTTTTTTTTAATTACGGGGGAAAAAAAGAATGTGGTAACCAGCATGGTCACTGGCAAACAGAACGAGAATTTAAATTAACCATAAAGAAGTGTAGAAACAGAGGAGCCTCAAATGTTGTTGCTCCTGAAATGAGCACGTCGGGTCATTCCCACGAGCTCCAGCACTCCCGTCTCAGGAGAACGACCCTCACCCCTTCCTACCAGCACTTGACTCTTACCCTGAAGGCAGCAACAGCACAGGCTCTGGTCCAACGCCTTCTTCCTCACGCAGGGACTTAAACAGTCAGTAAATAATGGCTTCCCTTTACTCCTCAGTGGGATGGTCTTCCCCTCCTCGTCCCCACAAACCTCTAGGCTAATGCTAACACAGTCTTTCCTCAGCTGTCACATCTCCTACAGAATGTGTTTTTGGTACACTAGCTTTTTGGTTTTATCACATTTTATTTGTTTGGGGCGGGTGTGCACACACAGTCTACACCTGAGGTCAAAGGATCATCTGTAGGAGTCACTTACCTTCCTCCACTCAATGGCAGGCTTGGCAGCAAGTGTCTTTACCAGATGGACCATGTCATCAACCCCAGTATTTAAAATACTGGACGTTTAATAGCCAGTAGTGAAGCCCCTACCTTTAAATTAGGTAACTGACAAATGTATACACACATGTATATACACATACATCAATGCACATGCACTCATACATATACAATGTTCATGTTATCTGTAAACGTCTAGTGGAAGCCTTTTATCATCTTAACATAAATGTGATTGTCAAGTTGACACAGCTTAAGAGTTATCCAAGAGAAGAACTACCTGGATCAGAACGGAGCACGGGCATGTTTGGGAGAGACTGTCGTAATGATTGATGTGGCTGTGTCCAGCCCACTGTGGGCGGTACCATCCTGAGGTAAGTGGGCCTGGGTTCTATAGAAAGGAGAGCTGAGCAAGCCAGCCAGCCAGCAGACAGTATTCCTCCATGGTTCCTGCCTTGAGTTCCTCCCCTGACTTCCCTTAGGAATGGACTGTGACCTGGAAGTGTAAACCAAGCAAACCCTTTCCTCACAAGCTGCATTTCTTCAGATTATTGTTATCACAGACAGAAAGCAAACTAGACCATACCTACTTATCAATTTATTAGTAAAGTTCAATCATAAACTCCCCTAAAATTTACACTTTATCTTAATAACATTAAGAAAAATTTAAAGCATTTACATGTAATATGTATTAAAATTTAGTAATAACTAAAAGATGAGATAAAGAAATAGAAAATCCAACCAGAATATCAATTATTTAGTTATATGATATTGAATTACAGGAAAAGAAACACTGCTATGTTTTATTACAGTGAAAGGTTTGTTCATGTACTATCTAATCTTACCTACGCTGATCTACCAATTAAATAGTAAGGGCCTACCTAAAAGCCGCTTCCCAAAAGCAGTTCATTCCACAAACAGCAGAGGGCAGCATCCAATAGGGATTCCAGTAACACAGAGAGGAACCTTTACACCTGACGGTGAGAAGAGATAACAGGCCTGTGTGAGTGGTTAGACTGGGCACTACCAAGGAATCTACCGAATACCACAGTAACTTTATGTTCAATTTTACAGCAACAAACTGCAAATCCAACTGCTATGGAAAATCAAAGCATTTTTACAAAACTGATTTCTGCTTTACTTAGGGCACAGTGTTAAATAAAACCTTAAGATTAATTAGGTGAGACTATCCTACAACTGGAATTTTTTCTGGTCAGGAACTCTCTGGATACATTAAAATCTCCTCCGCTCTGATGGCATATACAAGACATTAATACATCTTATCTTTTTCTTCACAGACTATGCACACTATCCTAGAAAATTCATTTAGCCTACATGTTCCGTTCACCACAAACGTAAAAAGTCACAAATGCAGGTGTAATGGGAAGAAAAGATCATTAAATACATTCAAATTAATCAACTCAAACTATTCATATGGTGTTTCAAGCTGAAAAACAAGACATTGTGCTGATAGTCATGACTGTTTCACCCTGCATTCTGTTTCAATATACTACCAAAGCTGAGGCGAGGAGACCGGTGGGCTTTCGTAAGGCTGGGGTTAAAAGTAAAAATGAATCTCAAGTTGCACAAATGCTTTTCACTGTCATTTCCTTTTGAAGCACCATCTGACACTCACTCATTACCCTGCAGGCCTGATGCACCATGTCACTAACCTAGGACACTCCAGCTCTCAGCCCCACGGAGCTCTGTTCTCCATGGAGTCAATTCAAAGTTGCTATTCTAATATCAAAAGGTCCAGGAAATTTCAGACTTTCAAAACTCTTATGTCTAACTTCCCAGAAACTTCTACGATCCATGACACAAGACAGGAGTCCTCCACCTGAAGGCATAATGCCATGATTAAAGAGATGCACACCAGACTAGTGATGAAATAAGACTCTGGCCAGGGTCTGACTGGTGAGTTTTTAAATACTGGCTATGAAATTCTCTATGCTATTGCATAAATATAACACTGGGGTTTTAAAATCACTAAGAAAAGTCATACTGCTCTTTGGTTTTCCTTTGAGAGATACATCAAAGTCTACAAAGTTGTATATTTTAATTTTTAAAAAGATTAGTCAAGAAAGTAAATGCGTACCTAACAGTAATGCTTGCCTCTTGACTAGAAACTTCATTTGTCCCTACTAGGGATAATTATTTGTGTTTAAAATATAACATTGCTTATTATCGACAGCCAAACTCAGTGGTACCCTAACAAATAACACATATACATCTTTCACATTCAGGTGCTTGCACATCCGTTTAAGCCTTACAACAAACTTTTCAGATAAAGACATTCCCAGTGTTATTTTAACACAGTTTATTTACAACACCTAGCATGTACCTTTGTTCTTGGCGTGGGGGGGGGGGGACGGGGACGGACGGATGGACGACGACTAACCCTATTATTCCATTTCTCCTGTCAAACTGCACAACAAGGTAAGAGAAATGAAAACGGAAATCTCAATTTTTCAATAAAAATTACTTTGCAAAGTTGGGTATAACAATGTAATTTTCTACTGCAGCTTTTACTCCATTTTACATAACAAACAATTTGTGCATTATTTCCTAAATCTGCCTGGTCCTAAGGTCCCTTACTAGAAATGCAGATGCAGGATCCTATCTTCAGCCTGGCTAATCAAGCATCAGCAGAGCAAGAGGCCACAGTGGCTGAAAATGTAACTAAGCCTCAAAGCCAAACCTGAATGAAAACAGTGTCTCTCAAGTAAGAGTCCACGTGGGACTAAGGTGTGGAGGGAAAGCCTGTAAGGAATCCTTAGCACTCCGGGGCTGAGGCAGGAACTCTTCAGTTATCAAAAGTGCTACCATGGGCGTGCCATGTACGCATAAGGTATGCGGGCTGTTTCTTGTACCCATTCACCCCCTCAAAAAAAAGTTATTGATAAAAATGCTCATACAATAAATACTGTTTATTTACAGTAACAACCTAAGGTTCTTCTTTTTTTTTTCTTCTTTCTTTCTTTTAAGAAACAAGGTCTCACTATGTAGTCCTGGCTGCTGGCCTGGAACTTGTTATCTCACAGAGATGTGCCTACCTCTGCCTCCAGTGTGTTAAGATTAAAGGTGGGTGCTCATGCCCAGAACAGTTTAGATTCTTAAGTTTGGATGTTTCAATGGATCCATGGTCACCAAGCACAATTTAAAAATGTTCAAAGCCTAACAAATCACTCATCATTGCTAAGATTTGTATGTCCTTACTACCCACACTTTTAAGATATCTGCCTGCCAGGCAGTGGTGGCACACACCCTTAATCCCAGCACTCAGGAGGCAGAGCCAGGTGGATCTGTGAGTTCGAGGCCAGCCTGGTCTACAGAGCGAGGTCCAGGACAGGCACCAAAATGACACAGAGAAACCCTGTCTCAAAACAAACAAACAAACGAAGTTCTTATATGTGTTGCTTACTGCTCGTAATTATTCACTCACACCCTGAACTACATGTAAGTGAATCCTCCTCATCTCCATTGACTTGCCCACCTCTAAAAGGAACCCAGATTACACTATTCACCGACTTTGGCCTTAAGCTACTTATGGTGGTATTTTATTTGTACTGAAATGTGATTTTATTTGTATGTTAATAAATAAAGTTGCCTAGGGGTCAGGGCTAATAGCAAGCCAGAGCAGAAGCTGGGCAGTGGTGGTGCAAGCCTTTAATCCCAGCACTTGTGAGACAGAGCTAGGCAGATCTCTGTGTGTTCAAGGATACAGCCAGCATGGAGACACACACCTTTAATCTCAATACCAACCATAGAAGACCTGGAGGTCTATATAGATGGGCAGTGATGAGGTCATGTAGTTGGGTTTACAACCAATGAGAACGCAGAACAGAAAGTCTATATAAAGACAGATACACAGGATATAGGTCTCTTGGCTGAAGAGAACAGCAGCAGCAGTGAAGGGTAAGGTTTTTAGCTCTTAGTTCTGACCTCTTAGCCTTTCATCTCTGCACTGGCTCTGTTTCTTATTTAACAAGACGGTTACATCTACAGCTGCTTGCTTTGGCCAAAGTAACATGATGCTAGAGACTAACCCTAGGTCCACTGTACATCCCCAGCCCTCTCACTCAACTTTCCATGAGACTGAGCACACCCAGGGTAAGAACTTCAGCCTTGGTGTTAGAACGAGATGTCCAATGCAGAGGCAGAGCCACAGGCCTGGAATGTTTAAGAAACAGTTACTATTTAGTGTTAGTTTATAAACTGCAGAAAAGCAAGGAAGCCTGACATAAGCCATGATTCCCTTTTAAAATACAAATTTAGGGACCAGCAAGATGGCTCCACAGGTGGAAGGTTTGTTGCTGTTTATGATGACCTAAGTTCAATCTTGGGAACCTACATGGAAGGAGAGAACCAGCTGCTGCAGGTTGTCCTGTGACCTCCACATAGTTACTACAGTGCACACACAAGTTTAGAAAAAAACAAAAAACAAAAACCTAATGGTTTCAGCAACCACAGCCCACAACTTCCACTCCCAATACTCCTGACTCAACAGCACTAAAAACACCTATGCTCATAGGAAAGATGTATATGGCAGAGTGTGGAGAGACAAGAGGGAGAAGGAGGTCACTCTGGGCCATACCGTGAGCTTGAGGCCAGTCTTAGCTACAAGAGACCCTGCCCCGAAACAACAACGAAAGGAAATATAAATGTCTGTTCATAGCACCATTATTCATAACAGCCAAACAGTAGAAAACCACCCAAATGCTTATCAACTAATGAACAAAATGTGTCAGATCCATTTAATAAAATAGTATCATAATAGTAACATATTACACAAACCACGGATGAACCCTAAAAACACAACCTAAATGAAAGAGGTCAAACTCAGAAGCTCACACTTAGTATGACTCATTTGTAGGAAATGTTCTGGGCAAGAAAATCCATGAAGACAACAGATTTGTGGGAGTCGAGGGTCACAGGACTAAGAAACGGAGTGGGCAGTTCCTACTCCTGGATACAGGGTTCTTGGTCAGGTAGTCATTACACTCTACTAAGAGCTACTGCATACATATGGAGACGGGAAGAGCCAAGTTTTTAGGCTGTTTCTTGGTTGTAACACCATGTTGAAAAACACAGTATTTAAAGATTCAGTGAAGTGCTTGAAAAACAAGCATAAGGCCTGAGCTAAGATCCCCATCACCCACATAAAAATCCAAGATGGCAGTGCTATATGGGTAGAGTTGGGATGATCCCCGGGACCTGCTGATCAGAAGCAGTGAGAGACCTGTCTCAGCAGGTGATAGAGAAGACACCAAATACCAGCGGAGTCAACCTTTGGTGTACACACACACAAACACACACACACACACACACACGAACAAAAACACACACAGGCATAAACTACACACACAAGGAAAAATCTATTTATTGGATCTGTAAGAACACACATAGAAAGAATACACACACCACCTACCATCATGGAAAAACCAGAGGGCTGTAGAGATGCTTTAGCAGTTAAGAGGATCGGCCGCTCTTGCAGAGGACAGAGTTTGGTTCCCAGCATCCATATCAGGCAGTTCAAACTGCCTATTACTCCAGTTCCAGGGGATCTAACACCATCTGACCTCAACACACATGCAAACACTCACACAAACGCACATATAGACTCATAAATAAAGATAAATCCAGAAAAAAGAAAATACTAGAGATATCCTGACAAGAAGTAGAATTCAAATATCCATTCTCCCACTTTTTTAGGGGAGGGATCATGGCAAACACCTGCAATGCCAGCATTCAAGAGGCTGAGGGATGAAGATTCTGAGTCTGAGGCAAGCATGGGCTCTATAGCAAGACCCTGTGGAGGAAGGAGAGAAATGGAAGTGTGTTTCTACAGACTGCAGTGTTACTAATCGCAATAAGTAAAGGGAATGATCAATATAAAGTTAGACATCAGCTCTTCTGTCAATGTCCTGCCTACATGCAAACTGAGATTTGAAAATCTTGGAAAGCAAAGGAG